AGATAAAGTAAAAAAAATAAAAAAAAATAAATAAATAAAAAAAAACCACGGAAAGCCAATATAATTTTAAATGTAGTGGAAAAAAATAAAGTGGGAAACCATGTTCACTGCGATGTTATTAGTGAGACTTCAACTATTGCTGCAAGGATAATAGCGAAGTACATCGTGACTCATAATCATTGCGCGCCAAATGAGCCGACCTTACGTAGCAATTTGCATTTTCAGTTCATAGCGATTCAATGACTGAAAGCGAAAATTGTTCATTCATATTACGGTAGTTTTGAGTTTAACCTATTGCTGTAACTGGTTTAAGCGCTTTAGAAAACGCAAATTGCCTTTAAATAATTTAATCAACTGTCAACAGAAAATCTTTAAATGGTCCTCATATCCACACCCTACTGCCGATAGTCACTAAAATTGGATAATTTCTTCATTTCACTATGAAAAACTATTCTGCAAAGTGTCATTTTCATCTATCTATAACTGGGACATAAGCGATTTAAATGACCCTCAAATTTACACCCTAACCGGGATCGTCCCCTACACATAATAATATCTTCTTTGTTTGTAACTTGGGTTAAACTTTTCCGAAAGTTTTATTCGGATCAGTTGACCCGTTTTTAAAATATCTGGTCTGGGACGTTTTCATTTAAATGGTCCTCATATTCACATCCTTACGCCGGATTATTACAAAAATTCAGTCATTTCTTTACTGGACCTTTACAAACTATTACAGAAAGTTTTATTTACACCCACTGAAAACTTTTTTTCTCTCTTTTCTGGCAAAGCCACATTTATTCAATAATACATAATACCAATGATTTTCAAATCAGCAAATTCATATTCAAAATAAAAAGAAAACAATAAGCGTATAGAGTAGACCTCTTATGTTTCTTTACGATTATCATTTCATAACAGCACAATTTTTACAATCAAATTTCACTCATTTCATTTCCTTACTAACAATTTATTTTGTAAACTTTTTATATTTGTTTTTGTTTTTGTTTTTATTCTC